TGTGAAAAACTCAAGCAAGAAAAGGAGAACGTGGAGGATAGATTAGCTCTGCAGAGCAGTAAATTAGAAGAAATGTCAAGTGAAAAAGCAAGGCTTTGTGAAGAAATTCAGAATGTTAAAGATGAGCTAGAAATGACGAAGAGCCACGCAGCAGAACAGATGACAAATATTGAAGACGTTCAAGTACAGGTGAGAAGTTGTTTTGTTTTTTCGTCATTGACAATAGATCGTCTCTCTCAAGTTTGCTGTTAAGTAGCAGGACAGCCATGATAAGGAAAAACAATCAGGTAAAAATCTCAAGTCTTTTTAGTCAGTATTATAATAGGTCAGAGGACTTTTTTTTCAGGTTGCCCCAGGGTTTCGAGCAAACTTTATATAAAAACGCGTTTCATCCAAAAAAAAAACAATGTAGTCGATCGATTTTCCTTCTCCAAATCTCGTGAAAACGTTAAACAGACAGAAAGTGAGGAAAAGGATATTAGCAATCTTCAAAAAAAGCTGAAAAGGGGTAAATGTGGTGTCCGTGAAAATTGGTTTGAGTTCAGAGAGAGTAAGGATTTTTTTCTTGATTAGCAACCTAAGTGTTCCATGAGTTAAAAATTTAAAAAAGGGGATTAAAAATTAAAAACTTCAACCAGCATGTTTTTTAACTATAGATTTGGCTGTTTTAGCTTAACGCAAATAGATTCCAACATTCTCTGATTAACTACTCAATTTTGGTTCAAGCCATTATTTCATCCACGTCAAAGCTTCTTGTGCATATGTCAGGGTAAACCAGAATTTTCTTTGTCTACCATGAAAAATAAGGCAAGGTCTGGCTCGTCCCAGTCGTCTCTATTTGGATCGCACGCGTAACCGAGGGGAGCGCGAGGAGTGATGGGAAGGAGGAAAACGAAAAGGAGTGTCGATCAATCACGTTTTCCGGCCAAACTGACGCTGGTTCACGCGCGCGCACTACTTAGTACTGAGAAAGTCGTGCTCGTCTGAGAATCTAAAGGTCTCTGTCGTCTCTACTATTAAGAGGAGACTGAGAGACGACTGGGGACGAATCAGGGGCAAGGTAACGACTGAAATTGAGAATCAAACTTGGTTGAATACTGATTAAAAGTTAAAACTTAGAACGAATTTTACCTATAGCACATCCACTGAAACAAAGTTGTATGGTTTATTCATAGAAAGATAAAGAGCTGGAAAAAATGCAAAACCTGCTCAATGCAAGATGTTCTCAAGTTGAAAAGCTTCAAAACAATCTTAACGATCAGACTGAGAAGTTGGAAGCTCTCAAGACCCAATTGCGCTCACTCACGGAAGAACTTGACTCTGTTCAGGCAGAGCATGAACGATGCCAGCAGAACGCAAATGGGACCAGTAATCTGCAAGACCAAGTTCTAGAGTTGGAGCATTTACTGTCACGTGAAAAGTCAAATACCGAGGTCATGATGCGCGCGTTTCAAGAACAAGAAGAACAGTGGGAAAAAGAACGAGTTAAGTTGCTATCAGTGGCGAAGAATGACTCGGAGAGTGAACAGTCCTCAATTTTTGCTGAGGAGAATGCTCAGTTGAAGAGAAAACTGGAGGAGCTGCGAAATGAAGTAAGCGTCAAAGAAAGGGATTATCTAGAAGCGTTGCGGCAAACTGAGAAACGGGTTTCTTCTGCGACAAACCAGAAAACAGACTTTCAAAGCAAAATAAGAGAACTTGAATCTCAGTGCGAGGAGTTGAAGTACCGCCTGAAGCAAAAAGATGAGGAAATCTTTGTAAAGGAGGAGAGTTTGAAGCAAATCAAACAGGAAGTAGACAACCTTGAGGCCAAGTATGCCGCGGCAGGGGACGTGGAACGTGAGTTGCGGCATCATCTTGGTGAAGTCACCCAGCAGCTGGAGTGGAGCAAGGAGGTGAAATCTGGGGAGACAGAGGGCAACAACGAACATTTGGAAGCCTCTAAAGAAACGTTGACACAAGCACTTAATGAAGCAGAAAAAGAGGTATAAACTAATGTATTACTTAGATCACGAGAATAATTTAGATAACTTAAAAAACATGAAACTTCGCACATGGTGGTGGTGGTGGTATTGATAATGCTGATCATTATGACTATGACGCAGTGATGATGATGACTATGATGTGATGATAAGGAGGTGATGGTAACCAACATCGCTGTGAATAAATGATTGCAGTTTAAACAATCTCCACTACATGTGCACTGTACCACAGGGCAGTCCTTCATTATGAATGAGCATACTCCGGCAAACGTTAGCTCCACCTTGTACAGCGTAATAACCAGTACCACAGGAAAGTGCTGCTCCGTAGCTTTCATTTGAATGGTCACACTTTAGGATTTCATCCACAGACACAAAAGTTAGAACCACCTTGTACGGCATAATAAACAGTAGCACAGAAAAGTACTGCCGAGTACCTTTCATTTGAATGGTCACACTTTAGGATTACACCCACAGACTCAAAAGTTAGAACCACCTTGTACAGCATTATAAACAGTACCACAGGAAAGTACTGCTCAGTAGCTTTTATTTGAATGGTCACACTTTAGGATTACACCCACAGACTCAAAAGTTAGAACCACCTTGTATAACATAATAAACAGTACCACAGGTAAGTACTGCTCAGTAGCTTTCATTTGAATGGTCACACTTTAGGA